TGATCTGGGAGGCGAGCTCATGGAGGCTCTGAGTCGATCACGACCAGTAGGGTTAGGGACGGGTTAATATTCTTAACATCCAGAGTTTTCACTTTATTGAAAAAAACAATGTTACTTGTGAGAGATAAAGTTTATTAGTCTGGTTCAGTTCTTTTTTTATTTTCCTGATTTCGCTTCTATTTTTATGAAAACATGTCTTTCTGTGTCTGATGTATTCAGAGACATCATGCTTGAGATGTTTTTTGACTTCAGAGTTTGCTTATGAAACTTGTTTTCTGAAGTTTATTTTTAAGTGAATGTCAGCGAAGACGATCATAATCTGACACTCCTCCTCAGGAACAAGTATCCAAACAGTAGAGACAGAAGAAGGTACGAGGCAAAAGAAAGAACAAGAAATATGAAAAAAGTGGAACATCTCTTGAATATTCTTAAATGGAAATAGTTGCTTTGTAGTCAAATAAAGCAAAAAAAAGTACAGTAGAGGTTAAAAAGTTTCAGTCAAAGTGAGCCGACAGAACCAAAAAGAAGCCGTAATTCTTCAGCTTTCACATTGTTTGACAGTAGAGTCATATTTCATCCAGCAGCCAGCAGGGACTCGGATGCATCGCGCCTGCTGAAAGTCTCTGTGAGTTTCTCAGCTGTGACTTTCTCCCAGATGACAGATGAAATTTGTGGCATTTCGCTGTCGCCGTATCGATCCGCCTGGTATCACTGTCATTTATGCAAAATCCTCCAAGGACATGGAGCGATCGACCCGAGGAGATGAGGGAGGATCACGCCCCGCTCACAGCTTCTCTAGTTCAGTTTTTCTCACACGTTCACACATCTACAACGACGCATGCAAAGCAGCATGAGCCACCAACAGCAGCATGAGCGGAGAGTTAGCATGCCGTCCTCTTCACTGTGTTTTATGGCCTCCGTCACATTCACTGTCCTCTGTAACTTTGTAACATCACCTCTGACTGAGTCTGACCGCTCAGTTTGATTTCCACGGGCTGTTACCTTCAAGTGTGGTAGAAGAAAGTCAAGTGCGTTGATGCCGGCATACTGCAGTACTGTGATCGTTGTGATGGTTCTATTTTATTTCAAAATAAAAGCAGATATGTTTTTCAAACAGGAAGTAAAGTACCCTCGGTTTAAGACAGTACAAACATTCAAAATAAAAGCCAAACAAAAACAGTTTTAAATGCAAAAGAATGAAATTTCAACATTATTAAAAATGGCAGTGATCGTGATTAGCTATTGAAATTCGGCAATGAATCGCAACAGGGAAAAATTATATTTCGACAGCCCTAAATCATACTAGAGCCAACAGAGAACAAGTGAGGGCAGGCAAATAGTAATATTACAATCATCTGCCAGGCTAGTTGGGTAGTTAGGCAAGTCTTAACGGCTACTAGCTTAGATAAATCATCAGGATAATGTGAAGACCCTGACACACTAAGCAGAAGGCAAAGACGTAGTGGCGACGCAGACCGCCTGCGCCGTCGCCTCGAGTCGCCACTCGCTTGGCCAAAAAGTTGCACTACATCACGTATGTTCTGCGCACGTGTGAGAGGAAATAACTCCATGCCAGCAGGCGGTTATGATACGAGACGACCATTTTCACACCGCTGTCGCTCACCACTCGTGTTATAGGTCGTCTACTAATGGAGAATAATGTCTGATAAAAAGTAGAAAATGGTGCTGGCGTTGTCAGCTCTCGGTCTTTTAGTTGAAAAAGAAAAGAAGAGGAGGAGGAGACAAATAAGGAGAAACCGCACTAATGGGTGAAAGCATGGATACTACAGCAGCATGCTCAAGGAGCTTTCCTGAACCTGAGAGAGCTGGAGAGAAATGAAACCTCCAAACAGCCAATCAGAGATTCATCTCACCGACCACCGACGCTGATTCAACATGTTGAAAACACGCAAAAAACATGCAAAAACTAGGGCGACGACCGCTCACCGACGATCTCCTTGGTGTTTAATAACCGAGCCTCTGACTTCATACAGATTGTATACCAACAAAACCCCCAATGTCACATTGTTACATACTTTTAATCCTTGAATTTACTGTATTTGCACCAGAATCTTTTTTTCTTCTTCATAAAACCAAAGTTTATCTATCCATTTTCCTTTTTATAAATTAGATTAAATTCAAGTACTGTGAGTGTTGACCGAGAATATTGACTAATATATGTAGAGTCACATCTCTGTTGAGCATGTTGCTGACCTGCTCAATCCAATATGTGTCGACTCATTACAATGACAAACATTGACAATACAGGCAGCCTTTGTCTCTTGAGCGAGGATTGTCATTTCCCTGGTTTGGACACACACACACACACACACACACACACACACACACACACACACTCTCTTCCTCTCTCTCACTCATGCACACACACCCCTCTCTGCCCATCTGACCATTTGTCAGACAAATTAAGCTGATGAGTTTGGACTCGGGTGCATTGGTTCATGAGGCTCTTGACAGTCTCTGCTGGTGGCTCTTTTGCTCGGATACGTGTGTGTGCATATATTCTATGTGTTTGTAATTTCACTAAGCGTCTCTGTGTGTGTGTGTGTGTGTGTGTGTGTGTGTGTGTGTGTGTGTGTGTGTGTGTGTGTCGTTGCAAACCAGAAGACACCGCTGCATTAAGATTATAGCATTTTTCATCTGCAGTAGCGTGCTGATGCGTCTCGGGGTGCGATGGAGATTTGAGCTTCCTAAGTGTTACGTCTGCTCCGTTCACTTGTTAAGCTGATGAGGGACTGAGCTGGCTGAATAATTTAGCCATGAGAGGCGGGGGGGGGGGGGGGGGGGGATGCTTTATTTTGTGAGCAAACTGAATTTTGTCAGCTTCATGTGGCTCATTGCGGGTTTTTGTCTCTGATCTTTGGCGCCTCGCTTCCTCATTTGTGACCATGAAAAAAGGAGAGGGGGCGGAATTCAGATCAGAGCTCCAGATAGATGAAGATTCTGTTTCACCTGGAGGAAACACCTTGTGATTTTTGATCTTTTGCCTTAACGTAGATAGGAAGCTGCAGAGTGACGGGGAAACTGAGGAGAGATAGTCGGGGGGGGGAATGACGTTCACCAAACGGCGTCAGGGTCGGAAATCAAACCTGCAACAATTGGGACGGCGAGACTTGTGTAAATCAGTGTAGTGATACAACAGAAAACTCAAAGTACTTGGTCTTTTTCGACCTCTGTGGACTGTGGAATGGTGCGCCGGCTCTACCAATTTAGCTAAACCAGCACCCCTTCTTGACCTTCTTTTTGCTTCCTTTGTGTATTTACTTCTGATTAATATGTAATGCATTTTTAAATCTAATATGCAATTACATCGCAATTTAGAGGTCAGTCGATTCAAAAAGAGGGAATAACAATCACGGCTGAGTAGCTCTTCATTACAGCACGTTTCAGTTTCTCTTCACACAGCTCTGTTGGTGTCGGCAACACCAGAATAAATAAAAAGTGTGCGGGGAATAAATAAATAAGAGAATGACAAACCACCACTGTCAGAGAAATGGTTTCATCTCTCAGTGAGCCGTGGTAACACTAACACTCAAAGAGGAGACCGTCTCCTTTTTCCAATCCTCTTTATTCCTTTTTTTTTTCTCATGGTGTTGACGGACTTCAGTCCAAAGTAAGCAAAGGTTCTCCAGCACCATCGCACAGTTCGATGTGCTGAATTATTGACTCTGCTTTTCAAGGAGGCCAACACAATGATTTTTGTTTCTCACGGAGGGCAGGGAGGGGGGAAGCAGTCTCCTGGTTTCTCATGTGGAAATGTCCTCTCTCTCTCTCTCTCTCTCGCTCGCTCTCTCTCTCTGTGCAGGGATCACTGTGCTGTCAGATTATTGGCTCTGTGGATGGATGCTTGTATTTTTTTTTTTTAAAGGAGTGATTTAAAGGTCAATTTCATGCACAAAAGTTTGCTTGTGTTATTTTTATCCTTTTAGCAATACAAGGTGTGAACTGATCTCTAATTTATAGCAGTGGGGGAACACTGATGCTTCTGAGCTAATACTGGGAAAATCACAGCACGCACTGGAAGGGTCTCTGCTGGTTCCACTGCATGCAGCTCCACACCAGTTATACACAGCTGCTCTTTAAGTTGTCTTCTTTGTTCATTTGTAGGGATGTAACGATTCCTCAACTCACGATACCATTCATGATACAATTCTCTCAGGATTTATTTTACAAAATGAGACTGTAGACAAATTATGACTGAAAAAGATTCCTAACCCGTTTGTCAGTGTGGTTTGGCTTTAATGTTTTTTTTCTCACAACAAGGGGAAGTGATTGGAGCTTCTCATTAAATGCTGCATCATGTTGGTTGTGCTATTTGTGTAGTTTTCTGTCTTATTGAGATATTTGCACAGTTTTTGTCTCGTCCGTTATCTTCTCACCTCGTTCATTTTCTGTCTTGGGGAAGCCAAAATGCTTCCACACTTGCGCCCTTAATTTCTAAATCTTGCTCTGCTGACGCTCACAATATTATTGCGATTCATTTTTCAGAGTACCGATGTGAATCTTGACACCTTTGAATCCATTAAATCACAACTGTACGATTCATCTTTACATCCCAACTTTTTATTCATGTCTATGTTTCATTTGATTTGTTGGCTGATTAGAAGTACAATTCCAATAAATGATTTCAGTGTGGTAGGGTTTGACTATGAATATTGGATAGATGCCATCTTCTTGTTGTGCTTACAAGTTAAACTGTTCATGTTTATGAAACAGCTTAGAAGTGATCTTGGTTTAACGAAGGGCTTTTCCTACATCTAAAGCTAAAGAGGTTAATAGATGAGATCCATTGAAAAAAGAATCTTTTTATTGTCATGTTTCTTTACTTTTAACCAACCTCCAGTTACAGCATCCAGTCCACACACCTCAGGCCACGCTGGCTGAACCCGAGCTGCGACAGGAGCAGCTTTTTTAATACTGTAATAACTCCTGATTATAAACATGTCTCTCACCTAATGGCTTTACCCTCCTCTCTGTTGCAGGTTATCTATGCACTGAACACGAAAAACGACGAACACGAGGCGGCCATCGCCACTCTGAAGGAGGCCCATGAAGAGGAAGTGCAGCAAATTCTGTCTGAGACCAGAGAGAAGATACTCCAGGTTTACACACTTTACATTATAGATCTGAATGGGTTTTGTTTTGTGTTTTTTTGGGGGGGTGGCTGTGGCTCAGTGGTAGAGTCGGTATGGCGTTAGCGGGGGCTCCTAGCTTCTTCAGTCGTAGGTCAAAATACCTAACCACAAACTGTTCCTGCGTCAGCCGCATAAGAATGTGTATGATGGGATTAGTTAGCACTGATGTACACTTTACGTTGTCTCTAGATGCTCCTACAGTATTTACACTGAAGTTTTAAAATATTGACTTCAACATCTTTAAATGGACACTTCAACTTGGCAAGGTTCCATCATTAGGGATGTTCCCAGCCGATTAATTTCCTAGTAGGTTAAACCAAATTAAATTTCTAAAGGTAAGAAAACACTCAGAAAACAGTCAGCATTGAGCACAATTTATTGAAAAATTGTCTGCGGATAAAGAATGTATTTCATTTGCCAAGTGCGGGTAACGTTAGCAGCTAACACAGCCTACATACAACTTTATCTCTACTTTGTAGATCAAAATAATGCCAAACCACGTCTCTCCTATGAAATACTATCTGTTCATTATGTCGCCCCCCGGTGGTGGAATGAACTTCCAAACTCCATTGGATCTGCAGAGTCCCTCTGCACCTTTAAGAAAAAGCTAAAGACCCAGCTCTTTATGAATACCTACTAACTTAATGATGATGGTCTCCATATTATTGATGATGATGATGGTAATGACGATGGTTTTTGTTTGATAACGACGACTTATAAGATGGTTTCTACATAAAGGAAAATCCACCAGAGAGCCTCGATTGCATTCATGAAAACGCATGAATATTTAAAACCTGAATATGAATCATTAAAGTATATATGTCATGGCATCCTATGGTAATGACTCTTTCCCCCCTGAAAGCAATGTGACTAACCTTGAACAGCTCCACATGAACAGATGTTTACATTCATCACTTCTGCACAAAGTCTGCCTGGAGGGAAGATCCAGTGTGGTTCTTTGAATGAGAAATATAATATAATATATAATATGAATGTGATCTACTGTACCTATTTAATCTTCTCATTTTCACTTCCTATTTCAGTTTGTAATTTTCACGTCCTGTTTGAGATTTCTAATTTTCACATCCTATTTTAAATTAACATTTTCACTTCCTGTTTAAGTTTTAAATTTGTACATCCTGTTTGAGTTTTTAATTTATACTTCCTATTTGAGTTTTAAATTTTTACCTCCAATTTAATTTTCACTTCCTGTTTGATTTTTATATTGAGTTAAATCACGGATAAATCTTGAGAAAATCCATTCAGCCCAATCTGTTCAAGAAAGATTTAATAAGAGCAAAAATACATAAAAAGATCCAACACAACAAATCCAAGTTTTTGACGTTCTTCTCACAAGGTGGCGTTTCTGGTTGTATAACAGGATTTCTATTTAACTAATATTCCTGTCCATGGGTTCAATGTGCTGATTAAACCCAACCCTCCTCATGGAGCTTTAATAAATATTAATTATGTTAAATGGACGAGTCTTTCTGGTGCCAAATAGGAGAATGGCAGCTTCTGATTGTAGACTAATTACACATCCCAAGGTGTATTTAAATATAATACTATCCTGTTTGAGCATGTTTGTTTGCAGAGAAAAAATCTTTAAATGTCGGGAAGTTTGGTAGAAATGTCTCGATTTTTTTCCTGTTCCAAAAAAAAAGTTGTTTTTAAATTTTCTCATAAAGTATTTAATTTTATTCTACAAAATGTGGCTCTTATATCACATAATTATTCATGTGTTTAATCCACACATTACCTTTTATGTATTAGATTGTGATTAAAGCAGTCATTTTTGACTGCCTTACTGAGCCTTTTCCTGTTTCCTCCGTCCAGTACAAGAGTAAGATCAGCGATGAGATCGACCTGAAGAGGCGGATCCAGTCTCTGGAGGAGTCCATGGAGCTCCACGAGAGGATGAAGAGACAGGCGCTGGCCGAGTTCGAGAGCTATCGTCAGAGGGTGGAGGACATGCAGCTCTGCACTGAGGCTCAGGTAGACACACGAGTGATGTGGTGTGTGTGTGTGTGTGTGTGTGTGTGTGTGTGTGTGTGTGTGTGTGTGTGTGTGTGTGTGTGTGTGTGTGTGTGTGTGTGTGTGTGTGTGTGTGTGTGTGTGTGTGTGTGTGTGTGTGTGTGTGTGTGTGTGTGTGTGTCTCTGGTATAAAAAGCAGCTGTGCCCGGCATGATACTGCAGTCACAGCTGCAGGTAATCAGAACTAATGTTTATTTCTGCCCCCTGCTGTGAGGCTGGAGAGTCTTTCATGTCTGTCAGCACCACGCTGTGTGTTTGTCTGGACTTTTGACTTGTTGTTCAGGACTCCTTCAGAACCTGATTCGACACGTCATGTGAGGTCTCTATATGTTCTGAAGAAATGTAGATAAGATTTAAAGTTACAGATATAAAATATGTGTTAAGAAATATGATTTTAAACACTCTACTCAGGCTATATGTTGATCATAGTAAGAATCTGATAAATAAGAGACTAAGGAGAACACAGAGAGTAAATAAGTCTAATAGTAAAGCTTCTTTAACTAGCTTACGTTCCATAAATGAAAAAACCATCACAATAACCCAGATTGATAAGAACTAAAACTTAGATAAATGTGACGACAGCCAGCTTAATAAAATATTATCTAACCAGAGGAAACAACTAAGAATGTAATGTCATTACAGACCGCCATTATCACAGTGTGTTGACTGTCTGGTTGCTTTTTTTAGAGCTTGTCAACAGATGCTGTTACAGTTGGAAGTCGTCAATATTACAAATGTGTCTCTCAAAGATGGAGGATTTATTCCATTTTCATGTGTGTTAAAAACCTCATAGGGAAGTAAGTCTGTGTGTGAGGAATATTTACTCAATTAGTTAAACGTACAATATGTAGAATTTTATGACAAATATCTAAATTAATTAGAATTGACTAAACCTATGTTGTATATTTTTTGTTGAGTAAAGCTAACATTACCTCAAATATTTCCAACTGTTCTCAAAGCCTGATAAATCTGTTATTTTATAGTTGTAATGGGATTTGTCTTAGCCGCCATGACAGACACGACATGTTTATAATTCCCGTGGAAACACCTGATGTTACATCAAAGAGCGCTTCTGTTGCTGTATGTGCTGCTGTGATAAGATAACTCTCATGAATTCCTGCAAGCCTCATTTATCTTATGTTAATGTATTGATTGAGAGCCCCCTGGTGGTGGAATCTACTTTCTGTGCCTTTAAAGCTCCACTGAGGAGTTTTGAGCTGGTTATGAAACACACATATGAACTATGACTCATATGTCTCATCTTATAACTTCCCTGTGGCAGCAGTTACAGGCATTAAAAATAACGATGAAGATAATGTCCAGCATGCTGAAGAAACATCCTTAGCTGCTTTAGCCAATGTAAAGATATCATTCTTTAAAGCTCCTTTGAGAAGCTTTCAGTTTGAGTCCATTTTGGAGGATTTATGCGCTGCCAGCCCACAAAAAAAGTGGCATTCACGGACACAGGCCCTAAAGTATTAATCCAATGGTGCATCATTATATTTACCGTTCTAACATTCACATCTTTATGTTTGCTTGATCTCTACTCAAAGGTAATTATCTCTAACCAATCAGGATAAAAGCATCAAATGACGGGACTAAAAGTAAACTGGAAAATAGTGTTCTGAATAATTGAGCTCAGCCTAGCTTGTTTCCCTGTAGTTAGTGTAAGAGCAGTACCAGATGGTTTATGACGTTAGTATCCTCTACTTTGTCTGTTATTTAATACACTGTGTACACTGCAAGAATATAAATCAGCCTGTTGCTATGACCTTTCCACACACGTGTCTAGAATACAGTAAACATTTGTGCAAATCGATATAATAATTGACAGAGGGAGAGACAGATGCATGACATTTTATGGATTTTTTATGCGCCTAGAGTCGAGGTTGGGCAGAGAATATATTTGAAAACTTCTGGATGGATGATTTTGAGTGACGCTGTGGAGAGAGAGAGAGAAACATGCGACTCCACTGCAGCTCATGCAAAGGTGTGCTTGCACTCCTGTTGTCATAACAGTTCAGTACCCTGATGGATGCTACAGAAGAATGTCAGCGACCCCCTTCACGTGAACACTGAACAGCAGAAGCTGTCAGTCACACCTTCCGGCCGACTGACTCACACACAGCTCGCTCTCAGCTTCCACCACACACCGCAAGCCAGAGCGTCTGAATCGGCAACAGATTCAATATTGGAGGGTGTTCAGGTGCAAATGACATTTTGTAGTTAGTGCGAGTGGCTGATTGTGTAATTGTCTGCTGCCTTAGTAAATGAAATGCTAATTTCAGGTGCAGCCAAATTAAATGAAAAGGGGCGGGGGGTGAATCTGCAAATGTAAATCTGGTCCTGAGATGTGTTTCTTCAAGATTTCTCATGCAAAAGAACGTGATGAAAAAGTATCCTATTGGAGTAAAAACAATCTATATCAATGTTCTACAACTCACCTAGCAGACGCTTTTATCCAAAGCGACGTACATCAGAGAGTAAGAACAACACAAACAAAGATCTAGAAAAAAGGGAACAATGTCAGTAAGAGCAAACGATCAGCTTTGAGTCTGATTGGACACACAGGTGCTGACAGGAAGTGACCAGAGGCAAAGCACAACATTGAGGGCAGTTCTTGAGAGCTCTAATCAGTATAGAAACCATCTTATAAGTCGTCGTTATATCGTCACGTCATCATCTTTAGCTTTTTCTTAAAGGTGCAGAGGGAGTTAATTCCAGTTCATTCCACCACCGGGGGGCGACAGAGGATATATGATGTCGTCATGTTATGTGATGGTTCTTCTATTTTTGGAGATTGTCGTACTGTTTAGTTTCTAGCTCTCTGTGTTAGCTGTTTTTTTTTAGCTCTGATTTAGAGCAGGCAGCATGGCAGCCAGAAGGTCAGATTCCCCGGAGTGAGTACATCACCAGCTGTGTTCAGCTCGGCCTTTCATTCCTGTCTCCTCTTGACAGCACACGCAGCGGGTGGTGTCCATGTCGCGCGAGGTGGAGGAGATGCGGCGGTCCTTCGAGGACAAGCTGCGCACGTTCAGCTCGGCGCAGACCCAGTTCGAGCAGGAGAAGAAGGTCGCTCTGGAGGAGCTGAAGGGCCAGCACAGACAAGAGATCCAGGAGCTCCTCCGCAGCCACCAGAGCCACAACGCTAACTACAGTAAAGACCAGGAGAAACTGGGACAGCTGCATAAAGCCGAGGTAACACAGAAGTAGAGCAGAACAACAAACTCTCTCACTACAGGAAGGACTGAAGAAGTGGGACAGCAGTGATTACTCTCTTATTAACCTTAAATTAACCTGCTACATCAGCTCGAAATCACAGCAGGTCAACTTGCTCTTTTCTCGCTGCCACAGCAAAGCAAACAAGGGAAACACAACATTTTAAAGTCTTATCCCTTTATGCTGAAAAATATTTTTGATTGTTCCAAATTTGACCTGTAGTCTTTTTCACACCTGCACTATAGACCTGCACGATATGAGAAAAATATATGATGCTGGTTAACATTGTTCTATACTGCAATAACAATACAGGGTATGATATACATAAATATTAAAGAGTGCAGTATGCCTGGGAATCTTTACGTTTCTCACGATTCAATTTTTTGTGGTCACGATTCGATTAAGAATCTGTTTTGGATTCAAAACGATTCTGGATTCTTGATTCAAAGTCTATTTTTGAATGAGTACATACTTCAGGATCTACTCCAGTCATCTTTGAGACTGGCTGAATTTCTTGCTGCTCTATTGGCATTCTACTGAGTTAAAGATCTAGCCTGAGTGCTAAACAAGGAGTGAATGATTAGCCAAAAAAAAAGAAAATCGATTTTTGGAAGTTATGAATCTATTTTAAAAAGTCAGAAGATAAGAATCTAGATTTTTACATAAATCTATTTCCCCCCTGCTCTAGTGCATATTTATGTGTATCCCCTGTTTTTCATGTATTAACATTAGCTTTGTTTGCAACATTTTTCCTCCTGAATCCAAAATAAAAACAAAATGTTTTGTTTTTTTCACCACTAAATTGGCACCAATGAATCTGAAGGGTAGCTTGTCACTTTCTTAACCTTTACCTGGCTGCATCAAAATGTTGCAAAAGCTTGTATATAAAGACTAACATCCGTTATTTAAAATGTATGCACGCTGAAAGGGAAAGCATGGATTGTTTACAGAAAATTATTTCTCACCTTTGCTCCTCCTGAAATCTTACGTTGCTTGTTGGTTTATGAACCTCGCAGCAGGACTTTCACTGAGGGATGGGAGGAGGAGGTCTTAAGAGGGAGGGCATGATGTTGCTATGGTGATGACAGTTCATGCTTTTTTATCCTTTTTTATCTTATTGGATGTATCCACAGTATAACCGATAGAGTGGTAAAGAAAATTCTCACAACCAGAAAAGAGAATGAAGCAGCTTCGTTATGTGCACAAAGATTACACCAGTTACTCACCAGTAGTGTAAACGTCATCAACCCCGCCCTGACGTTTTCAGGAGTTTTGTGCATGTTGAAAACAGTGCATACAGTTTAAGCTTTCCCTTGAATGTTGTGCTGATGTGTCACAGGTGGAGTCTCTGACGGAGCGGGTGGAGGAGCTCAAACAAGACAAGAAGAGATTGGTGGAGGAGTACGAGGCCAAACTCAGCAAGGTACGAGACTGTGTCCAAATCAGAGGACACGCTCTGTGAGCAGAACGCTGCAAACAGTCCAGTGGAGGTTTCCTGACAGCTCAACGCTCTGATTAAATCCACAGTTAACCAAGCCAACACCTTTTGTGCATACATATGTATAAACGTAATGAGTGCACCATGGCAGATTCTGTCTGCTTCAGTGTTAGAGGATACGTTTCTGCAGATGTGCATCAATGTATGCACATGTTTATAGATATATTTTAATTATTTATGTATAGGATCTGTTTATGCAGGACCAGACTCTAGTATGTGAGGTGGTTTCCGTTTGCAGCACGCGTGTAGTCAGAGCAGTATCGACCAGTCATGTATCAGTAGGCTTCAGCGTGTGCAGGAGAAACCTTCCATATGAAGCGCAAAAGCAAGCGGGAACAAAATCCACAATACTTTGACAATTATTTTTTTTGCAGTGTAGTGTAGTTTAATTTATTTTAACTTTGAGCAACAAATCGTCTTGATGTTGTATCATGAAAGCCAAAAAAACATTTCAAAGTCCCAACTTGCAGGAATGCTTCAGAAAAGATCGCTTTGACGTCCATCCAACAAACACTCAAAAAAAAAGTTTTCTTCTCCTATTTAGGACAGACGTGTCAAAGCATGCATTTGACTTTTTTTTACAAATCTGCATCATGATGTTATTTCATGAAACTTAAGACCTGTAAATAGCAAATAAATCACAAGAAAACTGTTTTTCTTTGGGCTCATTCTGCTGAGTGAAGCCTGAGTGTATAGCCAACTCTTTACAGTCAATCTGAGGCCTACAGAAGCAGATGAACAGGCGGTACTCCAAGGGATGTAATGAACCATGAAATGATGGTGTTTATTTACCCACATCTGATGGGGCAGTTTTCAGTTTGCTTTTGATCTGACCATTCGGAGGTTTCTCATGTTGCCAAGTGGACGATAAACACAGTCTAGTTTTTTTTAGCGTGACACATTTTAATGAGAAAGATTTTCAAACCGTCTGAAATGTTTTCCAAATGCAATCCCAATTCTTTAAGGGAAAGGGTGGAAAAAAAGGGAAAAAGTTGGTGAAGAAGTCAAACAAATCAGAGTACCTCTTCCCGGAGGCTTGTTGTTTTTTGTTTTATTACTCCATTACTCTGTTGGGATGAATGTGTTATTTCACACTGATAGACGTTCCACTCTCTCCGTCCCCCAGGCTCAGGCCTTTTACGAGCGCGAGCTGGAAGCCATGAAGAGAACCCAGCAACTGACCGCAGACAACCTGTTGGCGTGGAAACGCACCGAGTCCGAGCTGAGGCGGGAGTTCCAGGCTCAGGAGGCGGCGCTGCAGAAGACCCTGGGGAAGCTGAGGGCCGAGCTGGCCCGGGTAACGGACGAGGCTCGGGAAAACCGGGAAAAGTCCCACAAGCTCCACGCGTCACTCACCAGCGCTGAGAGAGACGTCAAGGTCAGTGTGAAGCCCGAACCGCTGACTCAGACATGTTTCAAGCTTTAGAGTCACTTTAGCTATAACTGCAGAATAACGAGGGTGAAACAGGGCCAGGAAGTTAATAGCAAACGCCCATGATTGGCCATATTCTGATGCAGTTTTTTATGCAGAGACTACAAAATGTGTCCTCTGTGAAAGATGATGAAATGAGTATGTAAAATAAATGAGATAAAATCAAATGGGTGACTCTTCAAATACAAGAAAATGAGCTGACCTGATCACACTTGAGCACGGTTTTCTAGCACCAATATGAGTCCTAGTCTGTCTACAAACCCCCCAATTATGAGAAACGTCCATCCTCTCCGTCTTTAACCTGCTCCACTTTCCAGAAAATATGTGCTCAAACAGGCCGTTTGGAGATTTTCCCTTCATGACATCACAAAGGGCAGTAGCCCCTCCCCCAGGTGGGTGACACTCCCACAGCTAGGTGTTTGTTCTGCCCTCTGAGTCTGCCTTCTCACCGTAAACAATAGGACATGGAGCGAGAAAGCCCGAGCCACATGTCCAGGGGGGCGTGGTCAGACACAGCTCATCTACATATTTAAAGCTACAGACACAGAAACAGCCTGTTCTGAGCAGGGCTGAAATAGAGGGGTTTATAGACATGATCAAATACAGGATCAGAATGGTTTTAGAACAAGACACTTCAACTTGAGGAGCTCTGAGACTTATTTAAACTGATTCAAAAGGAGGAGAATATGAGACCTTTAGGTGTGAGACTGTTTTCTCACATCCTCTCTTGTAAATGAAATATAGCCGTGCTGCTCTTTTATCTTCCCAACTTGTGTTTTTCAAAAATTTTAGGAGTTGTCTCTTATCTAGAGCTGACAGTGTCCTCCAGGGGAGCTGCTTAACTAGGTCTGACTTGTTGTTATGATGTACTGTGAAGTTTGTGGGAAATTATCTCTGACTGCACAGACAACAGAGAGGGGTGCCCCCCCCCCTCCACCCCCCATTCTGTGTTACTATCAAGGTCAGCAGTGGCTGATGCGCCTGAGGTTAATAATTTCATTAGCGATCAGAGCAATTAACTGTAACCCAGATAAAGAGACGACAACAGAGCAACAGAGCAGAGGGCCTGAAACCAGCTCCATTCAACACCTCCTCTTTATATTCTCTCGTTTGAAACATTAGATATCAGACGGTGGAAATAATTTTAAACCTGTTTTCCACAAACTACCTATCTGATATGTTGTGTTTTTACTACGCTGCTATTACAATAATCTCCTAATAACAGACTAAGACTTGAAGCACATCCTTTAATCCCTGAACTTCTGTTGGGAGATCACTATTGAGAAATAATATATTTTTAATTGAACCTTTACATGCTCACAGCAGGGCTTTTAATCTTCATCTGCCTTCGTATTATTGTTCATGCTCTTAGCTAGGACACATTTTGGTTTCTGTAAGTTACAGTTTTGCTTCCGACACAGAGACATTTTTGCTTCCTGTTCATTAAATTTCTTCCGTGTGTAAAATAAAAAATCTTGCACCAAATTTAAAATATTTCCCCCCTGATCTCCAGAGGCTTAATTACTGTACCAGCATGGAACCAAAAAAGTAGCATCAAATATCGACTTAACACCAGTCAGCGCAGTCAGAGTCGGTGTCAGGATGCTCCAGCTTCCTGCTTCAGTGTTCTCTGTCATCCTAATTTAGCTTATGATGTAGTAGGCAACTCTCCAGAGAAATGCGGGCGAGTGATCGCTCGGAGGAGCCGAGACAGACGTAATTAATGTCTGACTGTTCACAAGCTTCTGCAGGAATGTGCTCGCCAAAAAATTACAAATTATCCCCCGAGTGCAGTACTCCACTGACGCTGTGTTATATCGCTGCTGTCACCGTGTTTGGACGGAACGCTTCACTCTCAGGTAGAGCCTATCTGGAAAGGAGCTAGCGGAAGCTTTTAGCGGGATAAAAAGAAAATAAATCATCTCAAGCACAGGTTTCAGTCACTTTTAAAATGCAAATAGCGGTGCTGGAGTTAGACGGGGCCGGGTGGAAGATGATTGACAGAAGTAAGGCGGCGTGTCTGTGAGCATGTGTTTGAGTATGATAAGCGCTGAATTGATGTCTTTAACAATGGGATTCCTCTTTTAGGCTGAGTAAATAAAAAAGATTTAAGATTAATCCAACTATAAAACTTCTTTTATCCCTCCTGCAGCCAAACACATCCAGTCGTTTATACATTGTACTTGTGTGGACAGGATGGATTCTTTGGATGCAGTTTTAATCATACTAACACGCTACTGAGGCTCAGTGGTAGAGTCGGCCAGGTTGGGGGTTCGATCCCCAGCTCCTGCAGACACATGTCCGATGTGTCCCTGGGCAAGACACTTAACCCCAAGTTGCCACCTGTATTAGATACCCCAAGTATTAATTAATTCTGATGGTCACTTTACAGCAGCCTCAATCAGGGTGTGAATGTGGAGGTGTGATCTGAGGTGTAAAAGCTCTTTGAGTAGTCAGAAGACTAGAAAATAAATATACAAGTTCAAGTCACTCATTAACTGTTTCACCATTTCACTGGATCAGACATTTTCCAGTGTGCTTGTAAGCATGCTCATTGATTTGACCAGAGCTGGGAATATCCCAATGACATATATCCAATGTTTACCCCCTTACCTTAAACGTTATCCCATCTACTCCACCCTTAAGTCCAGCATGAATGTCAAGCAACACTTTAACTAGGGACCCAAAGGAATGACCCACTTACCAAATAGTCCTTGATTTTCCAAAGATGAGGAGGTCCTGACTTTCTACAGAGGTTGTACCCTTTAAAAATGGTCCTCAATTATGAGAAGGATCTTCACTCTTCCAAACGGTCCTTACTTTTCTAAGAGATCTTCATTTATCAAAAGGGCCTCACTCGTCCAAAATGTTCCCACTTTGAACAGAAATGATCCCTCGCTTTCCAAGTGCATCCTCGTTCATCAGAGAGGTTCTCAGTCCACGGAGAGGTCCTCACTTTCCTCACAGTTTCTCGATTCCCTCAGAAGTCCCCACATTCTGAGAACGCTTTTGACTTTTTAAAGAGGTCCTTACTTTGCAGAGGAGTCCTCATCTTCCTGAAGAGATGGTTCAGATTGTTGAGAAGTGGTGTTGAAAGAGGTACTTGTAAATAGTAAGTATTTCACCCACAAAGAGATGTTGATCAATGCAGGACTTTTATTGAGAAACCTACAGAAGCTATGCCCTACATCGATACAGACGTGGTCAGTTTAACCACGTAATTTATCTATTTTTAAGAACGATTTGACTGTTTTTCAGACATCAGAACTTTCCAAGAAGGTCCTCGCTCTCCAATAAAGTCTTCTTTATCCAAAACGTCGTCCAAAACAAGAACATGTAAATCCTTACCCCTGATCTTTACTCATTTTAACATCATCTCAGTCTTAATTCTGAACCAACAGTCAAAAGAATTGGACAGGGACAACAAGTAACTCCCTCATCGGTCCCCACAAAGATGCACTTAACAATAAAAACAAGACACACACAAACACACACGCACACACACACACACACTCACACACTTTGATGGATTTCTTATCTAAGCAGAAAGGTCACAAAGTGTGACTACCTGCTGTTGGTTCATCAGGGAAATAAAGCATACACCCACACACACAGAGTACAACACACACACACACACACACACACACACACACACACACACACACACACACACAGACATAAACTGTAACTTGTGTGTGTGCCTCCTCTGTGGTTATCATCATACTGAGGTTTCTTTGTCTTAGCCGCAGCAGCAGTAATTAAGTTTGAGGCAGGCTGTTTGATGAGACTGAGAGATGTGAAATTGCCTCTCATGAATTCTTACAGAGTGCTAAATCAGTGTGTGTGTGTGTGTGTGTGTGTGTGTGCGTGCGTGCGTGCGTGCGTGCATGTCATATCCCTCCCTGAAGTCTAGTCCCTATTAATTGAGCAGAAGTCAGCACTTACATCCTCGATCTTCAGTATTGGTAATATGCCACCAATATGCTTCATTCTGTCAGCCTGACAATCTAGTTATGTTAGAGTTAAATGTCTATAAAATAAATAAATATTTACTTTCTATTTGCTCTGTTTTTGGTCCCAACCAACTGCTTGGGGTATATACAGTACATGACTCTTGAGAGGGTTAGTGCTACACTTTGATTGCTTGCTCTTCTTAAATCTGAGTTTGCCATTGAGAGCTAAACAGTTTGTGTTTAGAAGAGCTCCTCTACCAGGACAAAGCTGCAGTGAACCAAACTGGACAGTTAAACAACAGGCTGAAACCAATGATAAAGCACTTGAATGCGAGTGAAGCTGCATATTCATGTGGAAATTCTCTGTAGTTTCATACAAAAGACCCCTTTGTCCCATTGTTTTTACATAACAGACTGATTCATCATTACAGGTGCAGCAACTGAGAGTAATAGAAGCCCCTGAAAGAACAATTGGACATTTTATTTATGATGTTAGATGTGAAATTAAATGAGACTGATTCAGTAGCAATTCTAGGGTCTCTTCGGGGCCCTAGGCAAGAATGAATTGGGGCGTCCTCCAACCAGTGTTCCCCCTCCTCTTCCTCTGTTTTCCTGTTTCCTTTTTCTCTCCTATAGACGGATCATTTCTCCTCATTTTTCTTTGTTGACCTTTATCGGGGGACTTTTGGTTTTCACAGCAATAATGCATGTGACGCTTAGCAGGGCAAGGAGAGAGAGTCCTGTCAGATGGGGCCCCTCAGGGAGGTTTCATACTGACATTACAAAATATGCATATTTTTCCCAAAGCAGTTACCTACCTTGCCTGAGTGACAGATAAACCCCACCTACACAGTGTTCAGATTTTCTCCCGTTGTCTTCTAAGTTCTGCCTCTCCAGCTGATACCTGACCTTAACATCGAATTCTCCCCACCCCCCTCCCCCCTTTCTGTGTGTCGCTTTGACTCCTCTCCAGGACCTAACCAAGCAGCTGGACGAAGTGACCCAGAACTCTGAGATTGTGGAGATCCGTCAGAAGGAAGCCGAGTGTGAACTGGAGGCAGCGAGGGACCGAGTTCAGCAGCAAGCCACTGAAATACTGCTCAAAGCCAGTAAGAACTGCAACATGCCTTTTCTTCTTTTCTCTCTGAAGCCGGCTGCACCCTGTATGATTTCAGTCCGTTTTAGCCCCCCATTTTTGATTCATACGACTAAATATGAAGTCAGCTTTTAGCCCAAATCTGCAACGTTAATCATGCCGTGTACACTGAGGCAGCCGCTTGCAAACTTGTGCAGATTGTGTATTTAAAAAAAAAAGAGATTGAGTGATTTTTCCCAGTGTGTGTGTATTTGAGCCTAGTTTTACCTCCGTCTGTGGGAGTTTTTCTATTGACAATTGTGAATGCTCCATCCTGATTTAACCCTTACAGTGTGAGCTGACATCCCACCACCACTTCTCTACTCGTTCAGTGTGCGTCGAGCTTCACGCAGACCTCTGTTTGTCATGCTACAGACGACTTGGATCCATTTAACCGACAGGACGCTTCCCGTGCTTGTCGTGCGAAACACATCAAACACATCCACTAACAGCTCGTCTAATCTCGTCTGAGGCATCGTAGGCCTGAAACACTTTAATGGTTTTACACTGTATATCCGAGCTAATGCTATTCCCAGTGCCTCAAGGGCAGAGGAAAACCCTTCTCACATCAATAATTCCCAGTCCATGGTGTGTGTTTGTGTGTGCTCTCCCGTTGAGTGTTACATGTTGGAATCTGATTTAATATCTTGTGAAGTCTCCCCGTCAGTACTCTGTGGAACAACATTGCATAAACATTTATGTCTTAGCGAAAGCAAAAAAAAAAAAACCTTGTCCATTAGCCCCCCGCGGGCTCCTCGTGACACACCAGAATGTTTTATCACTTCCCACTGGAGCTGCTTTCATATGATCAAGAAAATGTAAATGCATTGCAACAGCTGAATAAATGCAAATGTAACTGTGTCGTACACATTTACAGAGTATTGCAGATCATGTCTCCTGGATGATTTAAACTGTGATGCTGCTAGCTGTTGTTTGGTTCCCTTTGTTTGTATTGGTTGCTGTGGCAGCATTGGTAAACCACTAAAACTGAAGAGCTCTTATTCTGTGACATTAACTTTATTGTATCTGAAAAAGTAATGTATGATATCCCAAACCATCGCTTTTCAGAGTCTAGAGGTAAAGCAACATCCCAGTAACTCTTAAACCAACAAACATCCAGAGTTCAAAATGCTCACTGGGGCGCCCAATCGCCTAATGGTTATTTCAAGTTCCCCATGTACAGAGGCCGTGGTTTCAAACCCGACCTCTGCCCTTTACTGCACGTCATCCCCCCCACTCTCTCCTCCCAACATTTCCCGTCTCTCTTCAGATGTCCTAAAGGCAAAATTGCCCAAATAATATCTTAAAAAAAAAAAAATACTGGCTCTGACTTTTGACTAATGACACACCTGTAGGGTTACATGCTGCAGAGATGCTAAGAAACGATCTTGCCATCTCTTTATAATTGATTTTTTCTGACATTGTTAAGAAAAAAACAGATTATTTCTCAGTTTAAAATAACTCGATCAGGATGCAAATCAATATTGCCTGTTAAAGCAACATAATGTAGTAAAGTGGTCTGGTGGTCTGGTGTGCCAAGGTCACCAATACAGCCTTAAGTTTCATTGCAGTATGTTATGAATTTCTCTACAGGGATGCCCACTCGGCCATTGGACTACTTTCACATTAGCCTTGAGACGGATCATAATACCTACCTGCTGGGTAGCGTTACCACTTTGCAACCATGCAACTTAACTCCGGTCCGGCTTCTTTCTCTGTCAGTTTCTCTTCTTAGCTTCTTCGGTCATCGTCCTCTTCTATATCTTAGTCTCGGCCATTGTATCAAACAGGAACTAGATGTCTTAAGGCTGCTGTAAAGTAATGCTTTGAAAGTCTTTTGAGATGACCGCCTGCTGCCAAAGTATTATGGTGCTAACAGGAGGTGTCGGGGGGGGAACTGTGGACATGGAAGAGACATTATTCTCCCTGTTAAAAGTCATTGTACAATTCGATTGACCTTTGAATCTTCTATTTTGAGTTGCAAAAGTTATAAAATGTTGCTTTCTCAGCAACGTCCATAAAGTGTTGGTATTAAGTAGGGCTGGGCAACGATTAAAAGTTTTAATCGCGTTAATCACATGAGTTCCTGTGTTAATCGCGATTATTCGCATTGTTATACGCAAAATCCAATAATGAATTCAAAAGTAGTGTATAGCACACTTTTATTGTAAATGTACTTCTCAACTTAAACAATGTAATCAAAGCAAATAAATACAAAACTAAAGCTTATTGCATTGGTTGCAGTGTGGACGCAGAGTGGTGTGGGTCTCCTCTCTGACTGCAGCTGGGTCTGCTGCTCGAGGCTACACTGACAGCCTGTGATGCTTTAGGAAGGGGGAGGGGCTCACGGCAGCACCCGCTGCTCGTTGAGGACAGTAACTGAGCAGAGCAATACGTGCTTTCACGTCAGTTTCTTACACCAAAAGTCTCCAATAACACCAGAAAAAGTCGCTAGATTTGTCGCTAGTAGCTGTTGACAAAAGAAGTCGCCAGATTTAGCGAGAAAGTCGGCAAGTTGGCAACACTGTTTCCTCTTTCCTGTGAGCGCCGCAGCAGACATGCGCAGCAGCAAGCAACATACGAGGCTCGCTCACGATGGAATTTTATCAAATAAAAACCAGTGAGCAACAGACTTTTACAATAAGAAAAGAAATAATAAAAACTGCGTTAATGCGAGATAAAGTAATTGTTAATAATTAATTAATGAGTTAACGCGAAAATAACGCGTTAACGTGCCCAGCCCTAGTATTAAGCTAACAAGCTTGGCTGTGCATCCCGGTCCATCTGTGAGAAATTGCGCCCGAGGAGCGTGTTCAAACCTTGTGTCTTGTGCTTGTGTTTCTTGCCCCATTAGACTTTATTTTTCAGCTTGGCAAGTACAATGATTGCACAAAAATGTAATTAACAGTACCAGGGCCAGCAAATTTTAATCCTGGTTCCAAACCCCAAAATCACCGCCCACGTCTTCGGTTTGTTCAGTTATTATACGAGTTCTGATTTTGTGCCCGTAAACATCTGTAGCTGCCAGACGGAGAGAATGTCCATCAATCAGGATTTTAAAAACATCGACTGTTGTCGGCTGATGAAAGACAGCAACATCAGAGGGCCCATGAAAATGGCGATGGATGAAACTCATCACAGCTGGAAAGACTGTTGCAAGTCTGTATGATAGATAGGTGTAGAAACAACATGTCTTAAAATATAATATCTAGAAGAGTAAATGTAACAAATCCTGCTCCTAACAGCCAAAACCACAGCTTTCATATCGCCTGGAAATAACTCTATGAAAGAGTATAATTCACTTCTGAATGGGCGGAATAAATATTTTGTCCTCAACATCAATAAATGTTCTATCAAAAATTATTTCAGGGTCAAAAAATGAGGTTAAACAAGTTGGTATTTCAGTAATTTCACTCAAATGTCAAAATTGATTGGAAGTCCAGTACCAAGTTTTCCAGTAAGTAAACGTATTTGTATGTCGCGATCGAAGAACAACAACATGCAGATGATATGACTTAACTGTCAGCGTTCTTCTCATGGTGGTCGATTCTCCCGTCCTCGTCACAGGTCAGATCAGCAGCCTGCAGGCCACTCAGATGACCCAGGAAGCCGCCATCAGGGACCTGGACAGCGAGCGGAGCCGGCTGAAGGACAAAGTGCTGAGGATGGAGGAAGAGAGGGAGGCGCTGCTGAGCCAGGGCCAGGCGCTGGACGACAGGCAGAAACAACAGCTCCAGTCTCTGGAGAAGGTGTGTGTCACTGTGTGGGTGTTGAAGGCATTTGTATTCAAATGCTGCGTGCATAACACTGTGAGGAATAAGTAATAAGGAGCTGTGACTTGAGTTTTTATAAGACTTTGCTCCAGTGTCCTTCCTTCAAATACAGTACGTAAGAAAATATGAAATCATTTTTCTGAGAACAGATTCTTGCTATAATAATTTCATTTATTGCATTTAGAAAAAAAGGGAACAGAATCTTACATTTGAGCGATTTAGACGTTTAGAAAGGAATAGTGTTTGGGATTCATTTATCATTGTTTGCTTCTTCTTTCTGAAAGCACATTTTCTGCTTTTTTGAACATTATGAATTCAGAGTCCAGAGATGTGCTACTTCAAGTATGAAATGTATTTTCTCTGCCTCTCATTTGAGACCTTATTGGAGCTGAACTACTTCTAGACATACAGTACAATTTGTCCCCCAAAACTCTTCAGTAATCTCTAAAAAAGTTCAGGCTTTTTGGGTAAAAAGCTTAAATGGAAAGACAGTTTATTTGGATCTGAGGAGCAATTTAAATAAAAGACATTGTCCTGATGGTGGAACAGAGCACACTTGACTTGAAAGTCTGTCCTCCTGTGATCTCATGTAAGGGTGACGATTTTCCCCAAGCCAGTCTTGATAGACCTTAAAACTAAATATTTGACTTGAGCTGTTTCTTATGATTTTAAACAGAGAATGCAAAAGTTAGAAGCATACAGCTGTGAGGAATCTTTAAACTCCCACTCTTTCTTCACATTTCTGAAGTTACTTTCAGTCATTTTGTTTCCATTTCTACAAAAGAAGAAAATAAATCTCATGGACCTTTAATCACCAAACTTTTGAAAGGGCCAAACCTGTCAATCACTGCCTTTAAAAACACAAGCAGCTCCTCTTTTTAAAAAAAAACAAGATGCTTAAAGGTCAGAGGATTTAAGGAACAGTGTACTCAGCAGAGCAAACGCAGCCGACGGTAAATGTCAAGTGTTGCTGCTTCATGTGTGTTTTCCCATCCTTTTATCGCTGACATTTGTGCAGTGTAATCCTCTGGGAGCTGGGGCACTTCTCCCACTGGGCCAGGCTGAGTTTTGAATGTCTACCTCATGATAATAAGGATTTCTCACTACTTAAACTTTAAGAAACTCTTACATCACTGCAGCAGCAGCGTCTCTCTGTGCTGCTTTGATTGAAATAGAAAAGGTAGAGTACTTAAGCTGTTAGTGAAAGAGGCGTTTTTTTAAACCATAAAATAACTAAATTTAAGAAACAAATCTGGTGATAAAGAAGTGGATTTTCATTAAAAGAATCAAGCGGCAACCTCTGGCCTTGAAAAATGAAGCCAATGTGGAAGTGAAAAATCCTGCAGTTCTTGGAGTGTCCACTTGAGGCTGACTGCAGAAACACAGGAAGTCACATAAACATGACTGGCAAAAAAGATTTTTACAGCATCAATAAAACATGTTTACAGCCTGCTACAAAAAAAACAAAATAGGTCTGATTAGTTATTGTCCTCATGCACACACTGCACAGGGGTGAACCTCTAAGTTGATGCCACGCTCCCCACGGCAGATCAATGCCAAAAGTCTGAAACTGAAAAAATACAATCTGAAAGTGAATAAAAGATCTGAAAGCAAATACATGATTTGAAACTTTAAAAATCTGGATCTGAAGCTGAAGCATAAATTCTGCAACTGAAAAAAATAAGAACTCAAATATTAAAAAATATATATGAAAGTGAAAAATGAATGAATGAATTGAATAATTTATTCAAAAGAATTCCAGAATTGAATCAAAATGATATTCAACTTGAAAAAACTATTTTTATTTTGAATACATTGATGTATTTTTCAAAGCTCAAGTTCAAAACTTGAACATTAAATTTTATTTTTATTTTTTCAAATTATCAAAACTTTTGGCCCTGATTTAGCTCCATAGATTTCCAGCATGGTAGATGCTGCCGATGAGCCTCCAGAGCCCCCTGCAGGAACAGAAGGCTGACGTCACTCAGGCTTCATGCGTTAATATTTACAGTCTATGAGCAGAATGTGTTTTACAACTATTTGTGTTGAGTTGTGATTATTCAGCCTATTGGGTTCTGAAAATAGCATCCATAGTAATGTTGTTGTTTGACTTGATGATAAAAGTTGTAGAGAAGTCATGACATTAAAACAGGTTTTGTTTTGTTTGCAGTTCTCATTTAAATCCAATATCTTCTTCTCTCATTTATGTTGTTTTCTTTTGTTAAAAGCTGTTTTTTTTACTCGGCCTCTCTCAGTAAAAGAGAAATTAACCTCCCAGGATGTTTCAAACCGTGTCGTTCATGTGACACTGTGGAGATGTTTACCGCCTCGGGTTGCTTTGGCCCGATGACAAAGCAGCACTGTCGCTCAGTTTGACCTGTTTGATGGATCTTGGGAGATTTCCAAAAGAGCCTTTGGTTTGAAGCGATCACTGCATAAAAACATGATTCAATCCCTGGTGGGAATGTAAAGTTTGGGCATGTTGTTTCAAATGACTTATATATGACGTTAGCTGCGGGATATTCACTTTTAAAACACTGAAGCTGATTTTAATATGTATTCGTTTACATGTTTTGGACAGTCTGTAGCACAAGTTATCTTTACAAGTTTGTTGGAGATAATGAATTATAACGTGCTTATCAAGTGGAAGTGGAAGAAAAGCTGAAATAAAGTTTACAGGTAATTCAACTGGCAGACCTTAAAGGCACAGATTTTTACTGCTTGATTTAGCCATTCTCCCTGTTGAAAGTCATGGTGCGTTTGAATCCACCTTTAAAACTATTTCTTCAAGACGCAGAAGTTACATATTGTTGCTTTAAAGGATCATCTTAAGACTTCATTTGTAAAGATTACAGCCTGTTCTGCAGCTTCTTGTTTATTGCTCTGCTGTGTGAAATGCTGCAATAAGTATAAATATGGTTTAAAAAAAAGTTTGTTTACTTTATGTCTTGAGTTGATAACTCACAGGGAGCAGCCCTGATGGATGAACGTAGGTATTCACTGCCATCTGCACTGCCAATCAAAAACCTTGAATAGGACTTACATTGCATTTTGTCTCTTTGGATTATAACTCTGAGCTTCCACTTTTTGTATTTTTGTAAACATCTGATCCAAATTAAAAGGAGAAATACTTCAGTAACGAGCTAACCAATCATACCTGAGAACAATGTTGGATCATTGCGCAGAAAATATCCTCTTTTTCTAAGTGTTCTAGAAACACTAAGTGTTTTCTAAGTGCAGAATACCACAAATGTGTTGTCAGCTGAAAAATGCGGGGAACAAAGAACGTGTGTGATCATTTCAGTAAACTCTTTTGAAATACTGTGTGGAAGAGTTTCATTGTTTACTTTAGGAATCATTACTGTGCCTAATGCCAGCTCAACTAATGGATATCTCTGTCCCCAAAGGCTTTTTAGTCAAAGTTTGGCTAATTAAAACTTTGTTAAACACATGCAGTGAAGAAGCAGCTGCTCCCTGATTAAACAGAAAGGAAATGGGAGACAGATTAGATGTTTTGTGTTTTTTTTTTTTTCAGCTTTCCAAGAAAACCTCAGATTTGTGTGAGTAGTTAGACACTTTGTTCCAGAGTTTGATTAGCACACACAGTACCATGCTTGGTGCTACAGAGGTCATTTAGTGCTGCTCTGTGCTCCTCTGTCTGAAGTTTACTAACAACTTAAATCAGCAGGACTTCACGTCGTCTCCTCTATGTCCTCTGAGCAGCATCTTTTGGCTGTTTTCTACCATCTGTCCAGATTAAAATCAACGAGGCGGCTCTCTTCTGATCCGTTCATCTTCTACATATCTTCAATTAAATCTCTAGCAAATACAACATCAGCACGCTTCAATTCATCCAAACTGACCCCTCACACAAACAGAAGTTGTCTGATCATAGTGTAGCGACTGTAACGGGCCACAACAGACCTGTCAATCATGACTCTTACACCTGGCTAACCAGACTAGCACTGGCAGTAGATAACTAGCATTACATGGAAACAAAGAGCTAGCATTTGTTAGCGCATTTATTTTTTCTGTGTCATATGTTTTATTGCAAAAAACTATTGAAGACAAATATGTTGTTGGAGCCAAGATACAACGACTAGATTTAAGACTTTAATTAGATGTTCTCTTCAGCTCTTCATCTGACTAACAAACAACTGTACTGTACTGTAAGTACTTTTTAAATCCATGCCACAGTCATGTAGCTTTACAGATTTTTAGCATCATAACCAAGCAGCAACCTTTGGTGTTGCAAAATGAAGCCAATGCTGAAATGCAAAAAACTGCAGAAGCTGCAGTTCCTCAAGTGTCCACTTGAGGCTGGCAGCAAAACAAGTCCCAATTACACCACAAAAGCCCAATTTTCAGCAGAAATAAAAATTTTTAGTCAGTTTACAGTCTGAAAAGCTCATGTCTTTATTGGTAAAGACTGTACAGATGGTGGTGATTTTAAGTCTAAGAGTTATTCATAATAAGGGGCGGAGCTAGTCTGACTGACAGGTGGTCACGTAGCTGTTTCCCATGAGGCTCAAGTTGGCCTCAGCTCCACCTCTTTGCCTCTTTGTCTTCCTGAAACTTACGACCACATTTCCAATATGGCGACCGTCATCAATTGGCTTCAGATACAAATGGGTGACGCTACTGAGACTACGTCCATTTTTTTATACAGTCCACGATCATAAAATGTTTTTAGCTATGAAGTTCATTTTAACATCTTTTCACGCCCTAATAACAGTAAAAGTTCTGCTGGAGACATTTCATTCTGACTGACTGTCTGACACAGAGTTAATAAGCTGGACTTCTCTCATGAGATCTTTTACAACTCTTCACTTCAAAAAAAAAAAACTGAGTGTTGTCAGCCTTCAAAATGAATGCTGCGTTTGTTTCAGACACCCGTTGTTTAAAAAAAAAAATAAAATCAAGGTCCACCCTTATCATCTTGACAGGCGACGCTGAAACGCTAACAAGGCCGGTGCTTCAGGAAACATCAGTCGACTGCATCCGTCACTCCTGATGCTGAAGGAGACGTCTGATGGAAGAGTTGTGTTTTCTACTCATTATTTATTTCAAAGCTCCGTTAATAAAAGTCACACTTCCTGTTTTTGTATCATGTTTGGTTTGCATTAGGAACAACAAATATGAAGATGGAGAGGGAACTGGATAAGGCATTTTAGATTCAGACGGCCAGAATGCAGGATTGATTCCTTGGCTGTCACTTAGTAAACACTGTCAATATGGCTGCATAATCCAGCATATGGTGTGAATGTCAGCCCGAGCTCGGTGGGAGTTTGGTCTATCAGTTCTCTCACCTTTGAGTATATTTTATCACTGTGTGCGAGTCCATGTGTTTCATCCATCTCCTGTCTTTTTTGTCAGACCCTGCGCGAGGAGAAGGCGTCCCATGAGAAGGAAATGAACAGCATGCAAGCGCGATCCGAAGAGGAGGCCAGTCAGATGAAGGAGAGCCAGGCTCGAGCTCTGGAGGAAGTCGCCAAGAAGCACAGAGTGACCCTGGAGAACGCCCTCAAAGAGGCCGAGAAGGAGAAGAACCGCCTGCTGGCTGTGAGTACAAACACAAACTCTGACTTTATACGTGGCTGAAAATGTACCACTCTCCATATGTTACATCAATCCTATACTGAGAAAATGACCGGTTTTAATCTCTGTTTTCAAACCCTCATTAACTCTTAATCATCTGAAACATTATTTATAATTATGAAGGTGTTTGTTTTTTTGTCCTGATTTCATCAAAAACTAAAGAATACTTGGGAACAATATGCGAGACAGCGGGTGCATCAGATGGCGAGTTCCCCGGGCACCGAGATGAAAATCCATAGGATTAATATTCAGATAGCTGCGTGTTGTGTAATCAGCGTTTATTGCTCAAAAGCCGGGAGGATAATGAACAGCTGTGTGTTTTAATGGATCCTGCATCATCAAACTACAAGGATGGTGTCCTTGGGAAGCTTGTTTTCATCGTCTTGGTGGAAGTGACACCAGATGTAGGAAGTAACATTCAGGACGATTTGAATTAATAATGTGCAACTTTACTGAATACTGATGAACCTCTGCCATTCAGAGGGCAATGGATGCTTATTACGATGCATCAGATCACCTGATACACTTTTAAAGTATAACTTATTTAACTAATCAGAAATAGGAAGTAGTTACTAGCCACTTCAACTGTATATTGCAAGTTGAAGGCGAGTTATTGACATCCATAAACACACAGAGGCGTAATGGAAGAAACACTGTAGCACAATGTGTGTGTGTGTGTTGCCCTGTGATTGGCTGGTGAACAGTCCAGGGTGTAACCCCGCCTCTCACCTAATCACAGCTGGGATCGGCTCCAGCCGCCCCGCGACCCTTAATGGTCACAGTGTCCTAGTTGGGAAGTCATTCTTCTGACTTCAGTGTGTTCACGTGTTCTCAGTTTGAAAAGTCTGAATGTTGCAGTTGAACTTTGTGGCTAAAACTGAATGAATGAAGTGGAAACCGAGAGCGAGCTTTCGAATTAAGAATTAAGAATTTTGAATTTCCGTCTGGGATTAAAAAAGTATTTCTGATTGTGAATGTGAACCTGTATACTGAGCAATGAGTCCAGTGATGCTTTAATGCTCCATAAAGGTCAGGAGGCGGAGGAAAATTCTGTGTGGCAACCTCTTCTTACATGCAGTCATTAGATTTAAATACAAAGCAGTGCAGTCTCCTTCTATTTGGATACAAGTAGTGACACATTAATACATTACACCTTCGTTATTTCACATTCAACACTATTTCTTTTAGCTTACTGAAAAAAAATGTGTGTGTTGTTAAGAGGAGCTGATAGTGTTCACTAAAATAACATCCCAAAAGTGTGATACTCAGGAATGACTCAGTCAAAATACAAGCTGTCAGCTCTCTCAGCGTTCTGGATCTGTTTCCTGCCAAACCATTTGGACCCGTCACACCACTCCAGTCTGTGTGATTTTACACTATATCTGTTCATTTGTTTAATGAATCAGCGCTGATTATGAATGACGCACGCACTCTGTGGCGTCTGCAATATGTTTGCGGTTTGATCAGCACCCTCACATTTTGCCGCCGTTATGTCAGCTGTGACCCGTACTCTGCGCTGGAACCCACGCTGAAGATACAAATAATGAAGGAAAAATCTTCCACTACAGAAATGTTTTAACACTCTGCTGTTTGATGTTCATGAAGTGGTTTAAAGAAGAGATACTTGTTTCTGAACCCAAAGATCCTCTTTATTTAGGGTTGTCGGTGGGAAACCGTCTCATGAGTGGCTTTCTTACTCGGTTATTCATTGATTGTACCGACGCTTAAAGGAAGCTACAGTATGAGCTCTTTGCCTTCACAGTCCTACGAACGTCGACACTCGGTGGGAACATGAAGGGAGGGATGGGGGAGCGAGGGAGGAGGTGTGATGAAGGGACAGCTCGGTTTTGGTTTGTTTCTGGTGTGTATGTGTGACAATCTGCTGGACGTCTACTCTTAAAGTCGGACATTATACCTTTAAATTGGATGCCTCAAAAGTTGACCTACTATGCTGATCCCCATTTCTAAACTAAAATGTAGCTGGATGTCCAAACTAAACATGAAGTTTCGGATCATGAGATAAATGTATGTTGGAGTAATCCCAGGATGAGTCTGCAGAGGGCGCTAAACGGCTTGTTCTGCAAATCACACGATAGTTCCCGATATGAAACTAAGAATTTCACCAGACGGCTTCAAACCTCTTACATAGACTCTCTTCTCCCAGCACTGGAGAGCAGCCCTCCCCTGGCAGCCCTGCAGTGTTCTGCCCCACCGGAAGGCTTCCAGAGAGCTGGCCAATCAGAAGAAAGTGGGCACCTCAAAGAGACAATAGCTGAAAGGAACTGAGCTGCAAATCATGCAAATCTACTCTATAGGTTTCACAGAGTGACAACATGACAACAAAGGGGAACATTTGTATAATATGGGATCTTTCAGCCAATCACAATAGCCCAAAGCATCCTATTTGAAATGCCGTACATCCACATATGTTCTGTTTATGAGTCACTTTGGGTTTTTAGGGACCAATACCGGACTGTTAATTTAGTACAGACACCTTCTAGTTCCTCCTTTTGTTGTAAAAATCAAAGTAAGAGACGCCTCTTCATAGCAGTGTGGTCTCTTTAAGAGAGGCAGGAACAGGAAAAAAAAACAAGGAGGTGAGAAAAGGTCAGACGTAAGTGAGGGAGTCGACACCTTGAGATTGATGCTTCTGACTCTGTTGTGTGCAGAGAAAGTTGAAATTTTTCAGGTGATTCTTGAACTTAACGACTTGAACACGATAGAATCTATTACATGAAGAGAGTACCTTAGGGTCATAGTATTTTTTAATAGAGGACATCGTGTAGAAGAAGCTCAACTTAATTTGTAGTTTATTCGCCTTCCGGCTGAACGATATATTTGGCTTTCACCGTCCAACATGTGAGAGCGCCTCAGACCTTTAAGGTTATCGTTTTCACCTTGACTGTAATAAAAAAGTAATATTTAAAATGTTCAGGCTGTTAGTCATAAAAATATCGATCACGTCGTCACTGCAAGGCAAAAAATGAGTCCCTTGACGGCTTTAGCAGCACAGCTGGGTGATTTGAAAACAAGATCCAGTCCCCCCCAAAAAAAACCTCCTGAAGTTTCTATTTTCACGTCTGTGATCACTCATGTCTGCGTCCTCTGATATCATGTCAACAGCATCATTTTTTAGAGCTGTGACTCATTGAACATCCAGCGTCTTCATCGCACTGAATACAAGGTGTGAAATCTTTCTGCACAGGGGGATGTAAAGAGAACACGTTGATGTTGGAGTTACAAATTAAAACAACAGCATGCCTATACATATCGAGTGACAGGAGGTCAGAAAATCTGACGTTAAGGTTTTCCTACGGGCTGCAATAAACCAAACAGGGTTACAGCAGTGACTAAGAAATCTGGCAGGCTGAAAGGAGGAAATGCAGCCCACAGACGTGGGAGAGCACATTTTATATTTATCCCTTGTAAATGTCATCCAGGACACCTCCGAGCTCACAAAACCTGAGCTGGGTGAAATGTGAGAAACCTTTGTGGAGGAGTGTTATAATGTTGATCCTGAAGAATTGTACGGGAAATTCTCAATGAAATCAAAACCTGGAGATGTGGCAGCATGAGGGGAGCAACATGGGGGGGGCTGCCTGATGAGTCACACAGGTGATAAGACGCCGTTGATGCTCTTAATGTGCGGCTGCTAAAAACTGCCACTCCTCTCAGTCCCACACAAACACACAGAGCTGCTTTTAGGGTGCCATTGTGCAGCAGACAATCAAACACTAATTAGATTAACACGCTTCCTACACATGTGAGGACGAGGGCCAACGCTCGGCACGAGGATGTGTTCAGATTGGTGAGAAATGTGTGTGCAGGAATTCAACTATTCTGCCGTTTTAATGTGCATATTTTAGATTCAGATTTTAAAAGGCTTTGGACTTCTTTACTGATCTCATTATAAAAGAGACCAACACAGTGCTGCATTCTGGGTAGAATTCAAACACAGCGACTCATGGCACATAGAACAAAAGAGCCTATGTTGACATTTTCAAAGGAAAAAATTGGCAACAACTAGAAAGTTAAGCAGTTAAAAGAACTGAAAATGAGATTAACTTTAGAGAATGTGAAAGACATGATCCAACAGAGAGATAAAAAAAGAGAATTGACTGGAGAACCATCATTTATTATGTTTATTATCATTCAAATTAACCACATGAAACACGGCTGTGTACAGACAGTGGAGTTTAAGAGGTGATGTGCAGCAAGCAGGTCAGGAAAACATAAACAAACGACAACAGGTGAGAAACAGCCTGGACATGAAGCAGTTAAACAGGAATAATACATGAGATGGTAAGCAGAGCAATGGGGGGGAGTGCTGTCAGTTCCCTTAGGGAGGTTTCCTACAGTCATAGCAAAATATGCACAGTTTGAACTACTGCTGTGGTTTTAAGTTTGTCAGCCCTTGTGGGGCCCCTCACTGGCCCGGGGCCCCAAGCAGTTGCCTTCCTTGCCTTATGGAAAGCAGCTCCTCTGGTGGCCATGAAACACAAAAAAATCATGATCAAAAAATACTGAAATGGTATTATAGCATTGGGAAGTTTGGAGAAACGTTGTATACAATACAACGTAAAAATGATAAAATACAAAGCTATAAAAAGTTGAACCAGAGAACAACATTTTTGAAATAATATTTTAGTTTCTGCACAAAAACAATCAGGGACTTTATCTGTGAAAAAGAGTCGTTTTTTTCCGCTAGCTGCAAAAACAATTGAGCCACATCAACTCTTTACGACACCAGGCGTTCTGCTTTTGTCCACAGGAGCCTTCAAAATAAACACTATAATCAAAGTAATGATATTAGTAGTAATAAGAACAGCATCGACAGCAAGTGTGACCGTATGATTTATAACACAAAGTTCCCAAAACCTTTTAAGATGAAGTATGAAATAAAGGTTGAAGAGTTTTGATATTTACGGGATCATGACTCATCATTTTAAATACATTGTCCTGCT